AATACATGTACAGTGTAGCCTCTTTATAAGGGACACCATTGGGCCCACACTACCTGTCCTTAATACATGTACAGTGTAGCCTCTTTATTAAGGACACCATTGGGCCTACACTACCTGTCCTTAATACATGTACAGTGTAGCCTCTTTATTAAGGACACCATTGGGCCCACACTACCTGTCCTTAATACATGTACAGTGTAGCCTCTTTATTAAGGACACCATTGGGCCCACACTACCTGTCCTTAATACATGTACAGTGTAGCCTCTTTATTAAGGACACCATTGGGCCCACACTACCTGTCCTTAATACATGTACAGTGTAGCCTCTTTATTAAGGACACCATTGGGCCCACACTACCTGTCCTTAATACATGTACAGTGTAGCCTCTTTATTAAGGACACCATTGGGCCCACACTACCTGTCCTTAATACATGTACAGTGTAGCCTCTTTATTAAGGACACCATTGGGCCCACACTACCTGTCCTTAATACATGTACAGTGTAGCCTCTTTATTAAGGACACCATTGGGCCCACACTACCTGTCCTTAATACATGTACAGTGTAGCCTCTTTATAAGGACACCATTGGGCCCACACTACCTGTCCTTAATACATGTACAGTGTAGCCTCTTTATTAAGGACACCATTGGGCCCACACTACCTGTCCTTAATACAGAAGTGTCCTCATTTCAGAGGTACTTTTAAATCGGTTTGCACCAATCGGGACATTACGAAGTCTCCGTGACTGGGTCTGGGTAGTTGGGAATTTTAGTATTTCAGTCTCAAACCTTTTGTTGTCATAGAAACGGGGAGATTTGAAAGTGCATTGCTGAGGTGTAGTTTGTCATCTGTTAATTACAAAATTGAAAATCACAAATACTTTATCATTTTCAATAAATAATAATGACAAAGTTATAATTGACTGTTATGAATATTTTATTGTTTCCTAACAATCATCGTTTATAAAAATCTCAATAATACAGTATAGCCTCTCTTAATGGACACTCTCTATAGCGTATACCTCCATTTAACGGACAGCACCTAGTGTACCAATTACATTCCTTACTGTATAAAATAACCTCCACATAAAGGACACCTCTGTATAACAGAGACACTGCCTTGACCCAAAGTCTCCATTATATAGAGGCTAGTCTGTACAAGTATATGTATACTCAACTTAACATTAAAGAAATTCCTCCTCTCATTTCTTCCTTGTATAGTCTCATTAACTTGTTTTTGTAGTTGTTGATGTACTTTGGATTATTGGAATTAATTAATGTTTATTTTCTTCTCTTAAAGTACATTCTGTTCCTTTTAGATATAGCACACACACACACACACACACACACTATGATGAT